TGTGATAAATATTATTATTATATAATAAAAATAGATAAATAAATAAAATATTTATTTATTCATTTCCAGCACATATGACATGACAAAAAGGTGTGGAGGTTAAACATAAGGGTGTAGTCTCTCCCATTGTATTGTTTTGTTTTCTAATCTTTATTATTCATACATGCTTTTTGCTTATATGTCTATATTTTGATTTACTCATGTCTTGTTTTTGTGCTCATATTTTACTTATTCCTTTTGTTTTGTCTCATTTGTTGGTTATTGGATGCATATGTTTGTTTTATTATTTACCTATTTTTATGTCTTATCGTTCTTATTTTACTTTATGTGACGCAATTGCTCTTTATTCCCACGTATCCTGACCCCATTTAATGCAATTCTTGGTATGTTGTTGTCATTGTTGTTGTTGTGTGAGAATATATGGAAAGGATTCAAAAGAAAGAAGAAGAAAAAAAAAGGAAGACTTAGAATTCGTTTAGTGTTACTATTTTGTCAACGTTTTTATAAAATATTTACATATGCACAAAAAATTGTGTTCCATATTCTCTGAATTTTCTTATGCCATATTTTGTCAAATCTTGAAAACTCAACAGTTGTATTAGTAGCTATTGTAAATCTAACTAACAAACTAGCAATGCAATTCTAACAACGTCGAATTTACATCTGATGTGTGTAGGAACTGTTGTCCTTCATCCAAACGGGTTCATCTTCATCCACGTAAGTCTGCAGTCTAACTTCACTGCATCCATGACTAGGCTGAGTTTTTAGTCCAAATGGAACTACAACAGCTGCCACGTTATCCATACTGCCTCTTCCAATAGCAGTATCAACAATAGAATCAGCTAACGAATATGAACATGAAGAAGAAGAAGAAGAAGAAGAAGAAGAAGAAGAAGAAGAAGAAGAAGAAGAAGAAGAAGAAGTGTTTCTTAATTCCATTAAGAGATCACAAACATCCTGAGGGCTCTGCTTTTCAAAAACACCATCAGAAGCAACCACCAAATAACTATCATTACGTGTCAGATGTTGCCAATCTGTCACCTCTGGAACAGATATAACACCAAACCTGATAATAACAGAAATACAACATACATGATTTAAGAAGTTAGTAATTAGTAAAATAAAAACACAAATCAAAATGCAAAGCTCACTTTTTATAGGACACGTCACCAATAGCACGTGAAACTGCGAGTTGACCATTGACCCTGGATACACCGGCCCACTCCAAGACATGACCTCCAGCAGATTCTACCCTGGACCTTTCGTCTGGCCTGTCTGGATGGTGATCCTTGGTCAACTCTTTGGCAGAAAAATGGGTCAAAGTCAAACCAAAGTCTTTTATGCGTACTGAGACACCATCTTCTCTTTTCTTCTTGTACAATCTCATTAAAGTAGCTGTTGACATAAATAATTTACGAAATCCATCTATTAGTTATCAAGCTAATTAATTTAGGATTTTATTATAAAATTAGAATGGCTATATTTCTAACCTTTGGCTTCCGAAGGTGACTGGAATGTCTGAGAGCATAGGAAAGCCTTTGAATCTCCAACGTTGGCAACAAGAATTTGACCATCTACCATTAATACAACTGTTGCAGTGGATCCAGAAGTGAAGTTAAATCTAGAAGCCTCCTGCAATTAAAAAAATAGTAAATTAAACAAACCAT